GCTTACCGCCTTCAACCATGAAATGTCTATTTTTATTTTTATGCCTGTGGTTTGTTTTCTATATTACTGTGAAATGTCACATGATTTGAAAGTATAAATATAATATAACTGTTTTTACGAATTTGACCACAGATTGATTGATCAGTTAGAAAACCATTGAAAACTAGCCACACGAAGTACTGGCCTCCAAAGCCTCAGGATGGTCGGGGGTGGGTGCCTTGCGCTGCGGGTTGGCCACCCCTCCTCACAAATCTTGAAATGCTCCCATATGACCGGGCGTCTTACATAGCCTCTCCTGAGGAAGTCCTACTCACTGCCTTCACTTGACGGAGGTGTTTTTCACCAAAGTGAGAGGGCGAAAGCGGACGCCCGGCGCTCTTCACCGAGTTGACTGTCCATTGGATGACAGTCTAGGGGAGATGGCTAAACCCTGATTCCAAACCTCCAACGACTGGCGTATGAAGCCCACTGGATCTCACCGGAGCTCGCCGGCAGACGTATGGAGAAAGGGCTTGTTGGATGTCCTGGATGTCTGGCCCCATTCAAAAAGGCGTATGAACCGAACTCCGGTCACCAGCTGCCAATGGATAGTGGACTCCCTACTCCACTCCTACTGCCTTGTAGGTCACACTTGGTTGTGTAAAGGCTAGAGTTGGACTCTCAAACAAAAGGCCGATCGATTCTGGGGACAACACTCGTACCAAATTCCCATGAAACTTCAGGAACTCTCAAATCAGTTCTAAATCCCTCGCCATTACCATCTTGGCGATGTCGCAGGGGTGGACAGTTGAAAACATGGCTTGGTACGGTCAAGGTTGATATGGAGTGCCTGGGGTTACAAACCGTCTACGGACTCCGTCTGTGGAACATGAATTGGATAACCCTGTCGCAAAACCTTGCATCAGATCGCCGCGCATGGGCAGCGATGATTCGAGATGTTCATGAAGCCGGCTCATCCTCCCGTAGGAGATCGCCGAAGTAAAGTAAGTAAGTACTGGACAGCCATCTGTTTCATCCCCCTAGTTTGAAAATCATCGACAGTGATCAAACTCGTCAAAACAAATGTAATCCTTACAAATCAAACTCTCGAAAATTAATCTGATGCTCGCTAGTGACTTGCTACAGGACAGAGTTGGTTTCCTGGAGTTCCAGTGAGTAGTCGTGACCAGTGAGGTCAATCTAGTCGGGAGTGAGGATAGATTTCCCACCGAATTGGTAGACGTTATCATTCATACAATGGCCATTGAGGAGTCGGGTCCCAGTGGCTGAATGGTATATGAGCTTGCCTTGTAACTGGAAGGTCCTGGGTTCGAACCCCCTGTGGGGTGGATGCGTACTGCCGATGATTCCCAAACTAGGACAGATGAAACAGCTGGCTGTCCAGTACTCCCTGTGGCTGGTTTTCAATGATTCTCTCTAACTGATATCAATCCGTGGTCAAATTCGTAAAAATAAATCTAATCGATATAAACCAACTCTTGAAAATAATATAACTGATAATTATATGCATAACACTAAAAATGAATGATACTTAGCTATACCGTGTTGTGATAACTGCGTATATTTTTTTCCTGTCAGCATTCATTCAGTTTAATAGTTTGTTTTTAAAAAATTATAATTTACGTGTTCCGCCTTAAACTACAAAGACAAAGCGCTGTTTTGAGCGCGCGCTAATCAAGCATACCCATTAAAACAATAAAGCAAAGTCTTTAATATAATAGGCGTATAGACAAGAACAAAAGAAAGTAACACACACACATGTGAATTCTTGTCAATTGAAACGTTGTTGAGTGCTTTCAACCCCCCCCCCTCCTTGTTCACATACACACACACACATGTCATACAGTAATCAGACTAATTTGTGTTTTTAAACCACACACTGACATGGTGTAATGAAAATTGATTAAATTCCAAGCCACCAAGTTAATTTTCTTTCTTTTTTAGTAATTATTGGCAAGTGTCAATGACTGACTGGTTTCAACATAGAACTTTGCACTGATGTGCAGCAACACTTCAAGTGGCCACACTCCCTCCATGTAGCACACAAAACAAGAGGAGAAAGTGAAAAGAAATGCAAAATAGAGACAGTAAACAGAGATATGAAGCAAAAAGAATCGTAATATCACCAAAATGTTTCCAGCCATTGGTTCTTGCTGTCTCGAGGACCCCAACCAGTCAGAAAGTGTACACCCCCTTGCGTGGCTGGCTTAAACTAACTGTTGTGTATTTCATTGACTGACGAAGACATGTTTTGTTTTGACCATCACTGGCGCTTTTCCAACCTTATCTATCCTTTGGTAGTCAGCTAACATTGCCCATTGTTGAGGAAGGCGATCGATGTAACTTCACAGCAGCCTCATCGATTAATTTCCCCTCCTTACCTAGCACTCGACCGATGCCTAACCTCGATATTGCTCACCCTATTATACCACTTCACGCGGGAGATAGGATGCAGACACCTATGATCAAAGACAGCTAGCCAAGCTTTTCATGTCTTCCACTCTCAATGATCAGGTCTCACAGATATAGAGGAGAACGGAGCGGACTGCTGAGCAGTACGCACGCCATTTGGTTGACAGCCATCCAGTTGGATATCACGTCTACTAACCCAGAGATGGCGTTAACTGGTATATGCGAAAGTAGCCCTCTGTATCCCTGCTGAGATTTTGTCAGCGATCGACCTGTCGGCACTGGCTGATGCAACTTCCCAAATAAGTGAAGTGGTCAACACGCTCCACCAACCACTTCACTCTCTATTTCTAAGCTAGAAGTGAGTCAATGTAGTCTATTTCCTGTAGCATTATCTTACATTTGACAGCAGGAGCGAATCGCATGCCAAACATTCTCAGATCGCAACTCAAGATGTCGACAATATTTTAGCCCTCCTGCTCACCTTAAATGTAATGAACTTGTATTACCTCGTGCTGCCTTGTCGTGAAATATTACTTAGTGTTGTGTAACTGTATTAAGTACGTTGTATATTCACTGGAAAGGTATCAGTACTGTTGCTTAGTCTTAAAGATCAGAAGTCTAGCTACAGAGTAATCCACTTGATTATTACTATAATTATAAAATTTATTAAAACATAAAATTGGTACATTATGGGCACCAAAAGGTGCGCCATAAAAAATATGATACTTCGTGTGAGGGTTGAGGTACTACATGGACGTCCAGACTTAAGTAGGTGGTTGTCTTAAGTGACCGCCCCCTAGCCTGTGACTTGAAGTCCGACTCACAAGGCACTGGAGCAGCGTTAGGAGCTACATTCTCATGTGGTTGACGGTAGTCAAAACAGTTGCATGCGTCATTTAATCCGTTCGGATTGTAGAGTCCATGTACACCTTATAGGTTTGAGATCAGGGTTTTTCCGTTCCCCTAAGTAGACGTGGATGTCCACCAGTTCAATTAAAAGCACTAGATGTTAGCGCTTTTCTTTTCAATATTTTGAGGGATACCTCTGCGTTCGCATGAAGACAGTGACAAAGGGGACTTACCTATGGGGAGGGGGTTGGGGGATCTATGAATACATGGCCATATGAGAGCATTTCAAGCGAAAGGCTGAGGTCTACCAACTCTTGGCCTCGTACCAGGTCGTGTATGGGGACGTGTGTATAACTGTATGTAGGGTCATAAAAGTCATACATTTTCCTCTGTGCAAAGTCTTAGACTGGTTTGTCAATCATGTGACTGCTCCAACCTCTTAAGGTAGAATTGGGTTCAAACGTCATTGAATGATAAAAAGTCGACTGCTTTGTCGACTGGGCTGCAATTTCACCCTACATATTTTTTTAAAAATTTACTCACTTATCGATAGTTAGACCAAAAATAGTTATTTTATTATTGTCTAATCCCTGTACGTTTTGAGTAGAACATAGGGCTTCGAGCTAAAGTTTTGAAGTCTCGGTAGCAGTGGTTCTATTTTTACGAGATGGAGTTGCTAGCCTTACGCCCAACCTTCCCTCCCTACTGGTCTTACTACCGGCTTAGTGAGGTTCAAGAGTGAGTCGTCTGGGGTTCGATCCCCGGACGTTCTACCGCTGAACCATGCACCGCTGCTACAGGACTGGACTACGTCAACTCCTAGCTTAGTGATAGGGAGTGAAGTGATAGAACATGTTGACCACTTCACCTATTTGGGAAGTTGTATCAGCACCAACGGATTGATTGGTGACGAAATCTCATCACGGATCCAGAAAGCTCGGGCTGCTTTCGCTAACTTACACCGTCTCTGGCGTAGGCGTGACATCCGGCTGTCAACCAAGGGACGTGTATACTGCTCAGCAGTTCGCTCCGTCCTTCTCTATGGCGGTGAGACGTGGCCATTGAGAGCGGAAGACATGAAGAGATTGTCTGTTTTTGACCACAGATGTTTACGATCTCTTTCTCGCGTTAGGTGGTATAATAAGGTAAGTAATGTTGACGTTAGGCGTAGAGTGTTGGGCAAAGAGGGAAAATCAATCGAAGAGGCTATGAAGTTACATAGATTGAGATGGTTAGGCCACGTGCTGCGCATGCCTGACCATCGTCTCCCCCGACGGGCATTACTAGCTGATGTAGGTGCAGGTTGGAAAAGAGTAAGTGGTGGCCAAACAAAAACATGGTATCAATCCATGAAATCCTTGACAGTTAAACTGAGTCAGGTAGAGAGATGCAGACTTCCGGGTTGGGGCCTGCCTTCGGGACTCTAAGAATCAATGGGTGGAGACAATAGGTGACATGGCTCAAAATCGTTGTCAATGGCTTATGCAGATGTATTCAGTCTCTGTAATCTTCCATATTCCTTTCTACCTACCATTACTCATTCTGTTTCACTCTTATACTTGTCAAAACTCTATTGATTCTCTTCATTCTTTTTCTTGTCTACCTTTGTGTGCTATTTGGAACGTGGGAACTCGAACTGCTGCACTTGGGTGCCAAGTTCTATGTTGAATTCAGACAGACAGACAGAGATACTGATATTTATTTTCATTATTTTCAACCTTTTTCTTTCAACACTTCAGTCCTCAAAGATCGGTCCAGAGCACTTATCTACAAGTCATTTCAAGATTGTTCAAGAGGTATGCGTGAGGTGATATTCTATGAACGTGTTTTTTCACCGGATGCATCAGAAGCATTTAAACTATTGCGTCAATTCATTCCAATGTATCATGGAATATTTCAGTGTCCATCGACTAAAGGTAAGTAGAATGTTGTATGTGCTTAATTATTCGCTACTTTTTGATTGAATATATATGCTACTTGGACAGTTTGATTTGGTATTCAGATTATATAGTTTGGACTAATTCGAATTGTTAGTTTTCTTCACAAACGATCATTAAAAACAAGGGAGCACTGGACAACTGTTTCGTCCTAGCTTTGGACTCTTCAGTAGTGTGCCCCCATGACCATGTCTCTTGGGCTTGAACTTGGGGCTTACAGGCTACGAGACTAGGCTGGTCAATCATTCACCAGCCATGGGGGTTGGGATTCAATGACCCGTACATTTTTAACTTTGTTGTTAATTTGTGAGGTGTAGCGCTACCCTCACCCAGTCCCTTCGATGACAGCATCCACTCTACCTGTGGACTGTGAATTGGAGCTTAAATTTGCCATTTGCTGCTTGATAGTCGAATACTTGGACCAGTTAGCTACAATTCTATGGTTGTGAGAAGTAACTGTGTCTTCGACTTATTGTTTACTAGTCATTAGGATAAATTTTGAGTTCCGACTAAGAGAGGCAAGTTATTCGATGAGATATAGATGGAAAAGAACAAGAAGAGAAGTTCAGCAAAGGCATCTTTTCGGCAATTTCATCCCCGAAAGCAGCTGTACAATTGCATTTATATACATAAGTTTACATGAGTACAATTATTATTTGATTCCTGAAGAAAATAAAAGACAATTCAGGGAAGAAGTCTCTTTATAGACGAAATCATCTTCACAAGCTGTACAGTCGTATTTACATATACCACAAACACGTATAGTAGACTATTATTGAATAGTAGTGGGGGTGACATTTTTTTTATTCCTTCACGTTCCCAGTGGAACATAGGGCTTCAAGCTAGAGGCTTGAAGTTTCTGTAGCAGATTTTATTTTTACAGGATGGGGTTGCTAGTCTCATGCCCAACCTTTCCTCTTCACCAGATTTAGTTCTGGTTTAGCGAGGTAAAGGAGTGCGCCGGCCGGGGATCGAACCCCGGACCATGTGCATGGTCGGCGAGCGTCCTAACCGCTATGCCACCGATATAATTACTCACAAGTGGCTTTAGAAGTAAAAATAAAAGTTGTAAATTACGTGGTACTCAAAGGCGCAAAGTTAGAAATTTGATAAGGTTAAAATTGCTATTGAGTGAGAATAAAGGTGGTATCTGAGTGTCAATTTAACAAGTGTGAAGAGGGTGTAAAAATGTACAAAATGAACATATGAGAGTGATAATAGTGAAGTAATTATTAAAACAAAAGCAAACTAAAAGTAGAATTGAAAATTAAAAATAATGTTTTTTACAGGGAACCATTAGTGAAGAGGCTAAGACCAAGGTAGAATAAAAGACTGGACAAACGTTTTCTGTATACAGAGTTCGGGGTTGTATTGACGAATTGCCAGCATCTCCGCCATACACAAATGCCGAAACTTGACGCCCTTTGTACCATTTGGCCTCACCTTGTAGATGATCTTGAAAGACAATTCTGGTGGAGCTACATGACCTGAGTTCACTAAGTGCTCGAGAATTGAACTAGTAATTGTCTTGCATTGTCCTTTTGCCAACCAGGCCGGATAATGTTCAGAGATGCGTTTGGAAAGTGGGCGCTTTGTGCGGTCAAAATAACTAGCTCCACACGAGCAGGTGAACTTATAAACACACATTGAAGTGACCCGTCCAAAGCGGCAGTTTATCCTTCACACATCCATTGATCATTTGTCAGCTGTAAAAGTTGATCCGTAGCCTAGCCGCAAAGAAGGCTTTCCTCAGAGATCTGGATATACGGTTCTTCAGGATCTCAACTGCAGTATCACTTTTAAATTCAACGTTCTCACTCAATAGCAATTTTAACCTTGTCAAATTTCTAACCCTTTCTTCTTTTGTGCCGTTACTGAGTACCAATTAATTTACAACTTTTAATTTTTTACTTCTAAAGCCACTTCCGAGTAATTATATCAATTATGTCAACCACCCCCTATTACTCAATAATAGACTACTCTACGTGTTTTTGGTAAATACAAATACGACTGTATAGCCTGCGAAGATGATTTCATCGATAAAGAAAATTTTCTCCTCTGAATTGTCTTTTATTGTTTGGTTCCACATAATAACAAAGGAGGAGATTGAAAGTGATGATAATAATTTTCAACTTGATATAAAAGTTCAAAGTTGTGAATAAAAATTACAAGGCGCTTAGCAACAAAATTACACAAGAATAAAAAATAGTTATTTTAACGAATGCAGGCTTAAATGGTATGAGCTTGGAAAGAAATTGAACTAATAGGTGTTATTTTTTTAATAACTGGTAAATGTAGCGGTTGGCTTAGTTTCGTCTGAACATATAGCTCCGGGTCTTGGATGCATATGGTGCGGACCTCTGCAGTACAAAGAAGTTGGAAACACACTGCCTATGGTAGATTTTTGTTTACTTTGTAAATGACTCTAAATGATAGGTAAGTCAGTTGAGATGCTGTGATAGGGGTTGACCAGGTATTCAATTATGGCACTTGTGATTGGATTAGTGCCTCCTCTTAGCAGCTTTATTGAGAATCTAACGTAGGGTCTCAAATGTCCCCTCTTTATATGGTAAAACTACTGTAGACGCCTTATATTTTTTCTTATTTATGTTATTATTAATTGACACTTACGCTTCTTCGATCTGTTTTATTTCATCGTTTAAATCTTCTCGCTTCACTTATCTTCACTTCGAAGGCTTTGCTGCGTTCTACTTGTGTATGGATGGATCACTCATATTGAATATTTGAACGTTTTTGCGCGCTAATTTCAATCATACATTTTCACTTCAATTATTTTTGATGATTAAATTAATTTTGTATTGCTCTCTCATTTTCCATAAGATGATTTATTATTTTATTTTTCATTAATTCTCAAGTTAATAATTCAATTACTCAATTAAAATTTGCATTTTGTTTCTTCATTCTTTCTTTCGATTACGTGCGTGCGTTTGTGCGTGTGTGTGTGATTGCGTTTGTCTATGCACACACAAACACATCAGCCTACTATGTAGGTCTCTCCGATCTAGTAGCCAGTTTTAAACAACCTAATGTATGCGATTTCAAAATGGGTACAATCACATATCTGCCTGGTTCCTCTGAAGATAAGATATCCAGAGAGAAGTTTAAATATGCATGGCGTCGTAAACTTGGCTTCCTGCTGTCTGGTATGCAAGTGAGTCACATTGTGTTTTGTTTTGTTTTGTTTTTCGTTTATGCTAATGTATAGGTGGTGGTGGTAGGTGGTAGTATTTCTGTATTTTAAGTATTTTTTGTTGAGATAAGTTGTATACTACTCACAACCACAGATATAAGTAGTATATGGCTCAACAACTTTTGGAAAAATTTAGATCAATGAAATTTTGTTGGTTATGAAGCTCATCCGAAACCAGGAATCACTGGTTAACTGTTTCGTCGGAATCTGGAACTGTTCACCAGTCCTTTTTTATTCTTAAAACACAAGCATGACACATTCAGGGGACGAAGAGATACGCCACAAAAAACAGATGTTAGATCGCAATGAAATCCTGTAACTAATGAAATCCCTCCCCAAAAAAACCAACACTTTAAAATCGATCTGATCCTCAGTGGCAACTGGTCGTATTCAGACAGGCAGTTATCTGGGTTCTAGTGAGAAACCGTGGCCAGTAGTGGGATACAGCAGGTCGGGTGTGAGGACAAATACTCTCCAACGATGAAATTGGCTAGTGCCAGTCTCGCTGTATCATGAATTAGCAGATGTTGGAATCCATAGACTGGGCCATTGGATCGGGTCCCCAGTGGCTTAATTGTCTACGAGCTCGCTAGCCTTGTAACCGGAAGGTCCTGAGTCCGACTGAGCAGCTTGTTTCCCAATGGTTCTCTAACCGATGTTAGCTCATGATGAAGTCCTGTAGCCAATCAAATCCCCGAAAACCAATACATAAAAGAATCTCATAGTTCGCCTGAGGGTTGGGATACTGCTGGGACATCCAAACTGAAACTAGTAGTTAACGTAAGGGGTCACCCACCCTACGTACCTTTGACCTGAAGTCTAATCCTCACACAAGACAGTGGAGCAGCGTCATAAGTTTCATCCTCGAGGTTGTCGGTGATCAAAACAGATTCATACGAAATTCGATCCGTTCGGATTGTGGAGCTCATGTACACGATGTGTTTGGCATCAAGGTTTTACAGCTCTGCATCAGTCAGGATGTAAGCGCCAGATGTTCGAATTCGCTCTTTCGATTTTGTGAGGAACAGCTGCTGTGGCGCGTGGAGTTGCAAATAGGGTTTAGCTGGGAGAGGCTATCAGAGCATGGTCACATGATAGAATTTTGAGAGGCAGACCGAAGACTCTATACCCTCAGTTTTATCTATAGGGGCTATAACACTCCCCCATGACTCTTCCACTCAAGAGAACGAATCCAAAACTGTAGCTGATGAAACTGTCTTAGAAAAAAAAGAAGAAATAGTGAGCTGTGAACTACTGAATACCATCAGTGGGTGAAATGATATTATATATTTAAACAAACACCTTATCTTTCTTCAAATATTTATTTTTTATTTTTTATTAAAGCTTGATACCACACTGTATTTTCAGTACAAGTATGGAATTTTCACCATGGATATCGGTAGCCCAAATTTCACAGGCCAACTATAGATATCGGGTGTGCGTCGGCAGGGGATCGAACCCCGGACCATATGCATGGTCGGTGAGAGTCCTAACCACTGTGCCGCCGACGCACCAAAATGGGCGGGGTTGAGCAAGCTCACAACACCCGCCCGTAAGGGGAGATAATAGCTCGTTTTCGACCATACGTGATATTGAAATCTTCAATTGTTAGTTCAAGTTATCTATTATTAGGCCTTGGTGTTTAAATTGATTAGTATTGGGGTTCAAGTGTCAGCTGAAAGGCTATCACTCCCTGTTGATGTTACCAGTACATTTACCTGATGAGAGTCCCAAATAGGAAGAAGTATTGTTTGTTAACCTTTAGACATCGTCAAAGAGTTCTGTACTAGTGTAACAGCAGAAGATAAGACAAAGGGTTGGTAACGAACTTTTTTATTAAGTAGAAACAAAATAATTCAGCAAAGAATATGCTATTCTGGCTCTACAATTAGATATATATATGTTTATATACATAGAATATTCTAGATTAGTAGTCAATAACAATATTGGTGTGCTTTTTAAATAATATCGATATGTAAAGTAAGATCACAATGGAATTACAGTTCATTAAAGATGCATAAATAATAATAATAAAGATATAGTAGCAAATAGAATATCAACTAAAATTATTGAAATTTCTACAAAAAATTGAGAATCATTCGAAATTAGGTGGCCAAGGTGAGGACAATGTCTGAACTAGCTTCTTTTGGACACATAAATTAGGCCTATTAATGTAGATCCCAGCGACCAGCCTTAGCAATATGTAGTAGACGAACTCTTAAGGTGACGTTAAGAGTTGTTGGTATGCAGTAAATGATTTTAAAAGCCTGGTTAACATCAATCTTGTGTTCTGTATCCACAAGATGAGATAGAATAGCTCTACGAATAGATTTTGTTTTTCCTTCACTTAACCAACCAGGCAGGATGATGTTCGGAAATCCGACGAGAAACACGCCTAATTATACGGCTTATGCAACCAACTGGCTCACTCCACAGGAGCAGTCAAATTAGTAGATACACATACAAGAGGCGAAATTAGGCAGTTTATCTTGAACTTTCGAACGCAAAACAGGGGTGGGGTTGAAGACACAGCGTAATTCAGCAGCATGGAATGCTGTTTTTAATGCATTTCTAAGGCGTTGTGTTAATATCTCGCTGATGTTGTCCCCGAGGAACTGAATTTGTAAGAATAAGGCCTTTTTCGGAACTGTAGGTACTTTAGGCTGCCTTGATTTTTGATTCATATTCTTATCAATTAATTTTTCTGGATAACCGCTTTCTTCATCAAGACAATCATCAGAGTAGATTATTCTTGCTCTATGGACCAAGCACTCTATCAGATTGCGTTTTTATTTCAAGGACACGAAGCTGGAAAAATGAGTATGCTGACCAGTTGTGACATCCTCTTTTCTGGTCATAAAGACGTCTGAAAATGAAATACTAGAGTCTTTATCTTTCTCGATGGTAAAATTTATGGCAGGATGTTCCTCATTAAACTTATCCAGGATGTTCTTTGCTTCCTTCTCGTTCTTCATAATCAAAAATGTATCATCCATGTACTGACAGTAGAATTCTAGTTCATATTTTTACATTCTTAGCCACCCACATAAAAGTCCGCCTGGGTCAGTGAAGAACAGACTCTTCTGATTGGTTGATAATTAACCCAAAGTTAAACAAGTTATCCAATGAGATTATTTCATGACCACAACGCACAAACCTTTACAACCAATGACTTAAAATGTTGATTTGAATTTTCTACTGCTTCCTATCAATTCGCGTCTATATACTACTGATGAGAAATCTTGTCAGTAGCACAAATGCACCGCACTAGAAGTTGACATGTCAATCGTGCGAATATAAATCGCTTTGTTTTTTACTTTGTAAGGTTTACGATCCAAGAACTCATTGTATGATCAAGTTGCCAAAGGCATTTGGACGTAATTTAAATCCAGAACAAGTTTATTCCGTTGGTAAGTTCTTTGTTTAGTTGATGAATTATTTTGGTGAAATGTTTCTACAATTATCATTGTTGTTAATCCCTTATGTTCTGAGTGGAGCGAAGGGCTTCAGATGGACATCGTTATTTCACCTTGTTCTCTCCAGTCCTCTCTGGTACCACGATTGCCTATAAGGTTTCTCACATTTCATCCTCACTCACACACGATCTCCTCCATGTCACCCTCAAAGTAATGGTGCTGCCCAACGCGTCGTTTCCCATTCAGGTTCAGCTCGACGACCAGCCTGGTGCGTCGTGATGTCACTCAACTGTCTTCTCATCGTGTGTCTGTCCACTAATCCATCTCCATTGCCGTCATCACTCTGAAATCATTTTGGAAATCTTCTACACTCAGGCAGTATAAAGAACATGATTCGGATTTTCAACAAAGGTGTTAAGTTACTCTGTTCTTCTATATGGGTTTAAAAAATATCGAACGCGTCACGAACAGCATTTCCAACAGGGCAGTGCAGACTTTTACCAACAGCTGCCAGCATCAATGACTCCATATTGAAGATCAAATCGCTGGCCAACCAAAATGAATTAGCTGTCGGATGACATCGCGAGCCGGCCAGACCATCACCCCAGTGCAATCCTAATGGGAAATGATGACTGGAGCGTCCAAGGGTGAAATGGAGGTGATGAGACACTATTGACAGTCGTGAGGCCAGCTAAAAATAGGACTTCAGAAAATAGGATCAAGTGTAGATGTACTGATGAAGCCGTATGTTCTCCTGGGAAACCAAAGGAACAATAATCATAATAATATTTGTCTGGTAAATACATTGTTGGGTTGGTTAATTGCCTGTCAACCACTTAATGAGTGCTTGTGAAGTCTTGGAACTATCTATCTGTCTGTCTGTCTGTTTTCGACATAGAACTTTGCACATATGTGCGGCAGTTCAAGTTGCTACACTCCATGTAGCACACAAAGCAAGAGAAGAAAGTAAAAAGAAATGCAAAATAGAGACAGTAGACAGGGATATGAGACAAAAGGAATAGTAATAATGAAGAACAATATAGTTCCATTGGGTATTATAAGTCACAAGAAGTGGATGCATCTGCACCAGCCATTGACAACGATGATTTTGAGCCATATCACCAATTGTCCCCAGTATTCATTGGTTTTTACCGTCCCGAGGACCCCAACCCGTCAGGAAGTCTACACCTTCCTACTTGGCTTAGTCTCGCTGTTGTAGATTTCATTGACTGGTGCCATGTTTTGGTTTCACCGCCGCTAGCTCTTTTCCAGCCTGGCCCTATATCAGCTAACATTGCTCATCGTCGAGGAAGGCCGATTACTAGGCATACATAACACATGTCCTAACCACATCAGTCGATGTAATTTCACAGCCTCATCGACTGATTTCCCCTCCTTACCTAGCACTCGACGCCTAACCTCAATATTGCTCACCTTATTATACCACTTCACACGGGAGATAGAACGCAGACACCTATGATCAAAGACAGCTGGCCAGTCTTTTCATGTCTTCCACTCTCAATGACCAGGTCTCACAGCCATAAAGGAGGACGGAGCGGACTGATGAGCAGTACACACGCCCTTTGGTCGACACAGCCGGATATCACGTCTACGCCAGAGATGGCGTAAACTGCCAGTATCTATCGAAACACTAATTAACCTGTCATTAGAGTTGAAAATCTGCATCTTGTTCCTTAATATACAGAGGTGAGTTCAAGTATCAATGTAACAGGAGAAGATCAGAGACTTTATAATGGACCTTTTCATTAAGGAAAAACACACCATATTTATACATTTTTAACCACATTTTTGTGGTCATCTAGGATAAATAAACTCTTCTGATTGGTCTCTAATTTCCTTGAGATTATTTCCTGACCACAACGTAAGCTAAATCCAAATTTGACAAATAAAAACACTTCTACTTCGCTAGCCACTAACTTAAAACATCGTGTCCAATTTCGTCTACTTTTTACAAATCTGTGTCTATATATATACTACTGACAGACCTTGTCAGTAGCACTCGCCACACCAAAAATTGTTTTTGATACTTGTCTACGTAATGTATTTTAATAGATTAATTTGTAACGATATAAAATATTCTTGAAATGTGAAGGAAAAGATAATTCCAACTAGTTTACTACATAAAAATTCCACTAATGATTTTTTACTAAATAACAATTGTCCTGTTAATAGGCTTTTTTATTGGTCACACGTATTTTCCTCTTTCCCCCTAACTCTAATATAAAATTTACAATGTACGCCATGTTAACTGTCATGGTATGAAAAGTCAATTATCTGTTAAAACAAAAATAGTAACAATGATAATAATAATAATAATAACGCCTTAACTTATTTGTGTACACGTTCAGTTTGCTTTCAAATTTATTGTCAAGGTCATTATTTTTGCTTTAAATAATCGATTATCTTTTCAACAGTATAGCTGGTGGTGGTGTTATTCCATGGATTGACTGACACGAAGCAAAAATTCTTATCCCGATACGCATATATACTACTAGTTCATTTAAGTAGTGCTTGCTAGCTGGAGGAAATTTAACTGAGGCAACCGAATCATCATGGTCTTATCAGATTTCGACTCAGTAGTTGAATGAATTATTATTATTATTTCCTTTAATTCCTAGAGGAACATAGGGCTTCAGCCATGCGTCTCCATTGCGTTCGGTTCTCTGCTGTAGTTTTCACCTGGCTCCAAGTCTGCCCACACGCTTTCAATTCCTCTTCACATGATCTCCTCCAGGTCACCCTTGGACGACCAACTCGTCGCTTCCCTTTCGGGTTCCACTCGAGGGCTTGTCTAGTGATGTCACTTGCTGGTTTCCTCAGAGTGTGTCCAATCCATCTCCATTTCTTCCTGCCTATTTGTTTCACGATCGGTTCCTGGTTGGTTCGCTCCCAGAGATCTTTGTTGCTGATCTTTTCTGGCCATTTGATCTTGAGTATTGAGCGAAGGCATTTGTTAATGAAGGTCTGTAGCTTGTTTGAGCTGCTCTTTGTGACACGCCAAGTCTCTGACCCGTATAGTAGTACTGACTTCACATTGGAGTTGAAAATACGGATCTTATTTTTGACGCTGAATGCTGTTGACCTCCACATAGACTTGAGAGAAATGAAAACTTGTCTTGCTTTTCCGATTCTGGCTTGTTGAATGAATGCTGATGTGTAATCTTGTGTAAACCTTGTAGAGAGAGATTGCAACTTTTATACGAATTACTATTTTTTTTTCAGGTATTGGTTTTGTAGAGATTATGTTTGATTGATTGGTTGGAGGATTTCATCATGAGCTGACATCGGTTAGAGGACCATTGGAAAACCAGTTAGGGAGTACTGGACAGTTGTTTCGCCAGCCCGGTTTGGGACTCTTCATTGGTGCGCACCCATACCGCTGGGTTCGAACCCAGGAACCCTCTGGTTACAAGGCTAGCGAGCTCGTAGACGACCATAAAGCCACTGGGACCCGATCCAATGGCCCATTGTATGAATTCTAACTTCTGCCAATTCACGACATAGCGTGACCACGTCACAATGTCTTCTTCTTCTTGTGGGAAGCCGTGACCAGTAGGGTCGAAGGTGAGGACAGTTACTGATCGAAGAAGACATTGCTAAATGCTCAGGCTGTGTTTTAAATTGGCAGAAGTTACAATTCATACACTGGGCCATTATTGGATCGGGTCCCAGTGGCTCAATTGTCTAGCAGTGGATAACGCGCGTTTCGTCGTATTTTGGAGTCGTCAGCTAGCTGGATGTACCTGCATTCTCCAGTGAGTGTTGATGGTGTGTTCGCACTGAAGCTTGAACTCATCGTTTCAGACACCCCTTTGGCCTTGAGAACCACCTGTTTGGACTTTCCCGTTGATAGAAACCCCATCACTCAATGGAGAATGCAGGTGCATCCCGCTGACAAGTAGGCCCAAAAAGGAGGAAATACGCGTCAAGGGTCCCACTGCTAGTCACGATCCGTCAAATTACTTTGAGTTGAATCCTCAAACTGCGTCCAAGCATCCGCACAAAGAGCCCACATGTCAAGCTTAGGTCAAAGACCTCCATCCCATCAATCAACAGGAAGGACCAAGTTGAACTAAATCGGCGTTATTATTATTATTCCCTTGGGTTGCGAGTGGAACATTGGACTTCAGTAGGACATCTGCATTTCATCCTGTTTTCTGTAGTCTCTACGATCGCCTCTAATCTCTCATCTTCTCACACACGATCTCGTCCATGTCATCCTCGAAGTTATACCGCCCAACTCGTTGTTTCCCATTTATATTCCACTTGAACTAGTCTCTGGCGTGCGGTGTCATTCGACGGTCTCCCCAGCAGTGTGTACCCAATCCATCTTTATTTTCTCCTGTATGTTTCTTGAACAATAGGTTCTCACCTGTTGGTTTGTTCCTAGCCAGAGTTTCTTGTTGCGAATTCTTTCTGGCCATCCATCCATTTGAATTGCATTATTTAACCATCAAAGCTGGCAGCTGTTGATAAGAGTTTGAAGCAGGCTTTTGAAAATACTTTTCGTGACGCTTTCTCCAAGTTTGTGATTCATACGGAAGAACTGACTGACTTAAAATTTATCTAGAAAATCCGAACTGATTTCAAAGTGACGACAGTCTGCATTGTCTGTCTGTCTGTCTGTTTTGGACATAGAACTTTGCACGGATGTGCAGTAGTTCAAGTCGCCACTCTCCCTCCATGTAGCACACAAAGCAAGAGAAGAAAGTAGGAGAAATGCAAAATAGAGACACTAGACAGGGATATGGAACAAAACGAGTAATAATAACGAAGAATAATATAGTTTCATTGGATATTAGAAGTCACAAGGAGTGGATGCATCTCCGCCATTGAGAACGATTTTGAGCTAGCCATGTCACCAGTTGTCTCCAGCCATTAGCTTTTACCGTCCCGAGGACTCCAACCAGGAGGTCTACACCTTCCTGTGTGGTTGGCTTAAACAAACTGTTGTGGATTTTTTCTCGTACGCTGAGTATGGCCAACATACCTAGCTAGCTCCACACGAGCTATTTGATTTAATTTCCCTAATTTTCTTTCCGTTTTTTTCTTCTTTTTCTCCCCAAGGTTTGAAAACATTTCTAGGCCCAGATCCTGTATATCGTGTCGAACTTGCACACAAGTATCTCATCCAACTTGGTCGTATATTACACTGGTATAAAGAATATGGTGCAAAACGACTGACATTTTGTCGTTCCTCCCTATTGTTCATTCATGAATCCGTACCAATAGGATGTGAAGAATTCCCACCGTCGAACACCTCCACAACCACCACCACCACTACGACTGCCGCTACTACTACTACTACTAACGGCCTACGAGTAGTATCGACAAAATTAATAGAAAAATCAAATCGTATGAATAATTCCCAGTTGATCCCTTCTACCACTAATGCAATTCCTTCTATTCCTATTAATATTGCTAACAGTAATTCTATTAATGGTTCCAATACACGTGCTCAGGTGTATTTAATTGATTTTGCTCATTGGGAAGAGAAAAATCCTCATCCCTCGACGAGTAAAACTCATATCAATGACAATAATGCTGCCGACGAGGACGAGGGAGAGGCGGAGGACGATAGCAGTTATTATATAACCTATGAATTAACTGAAGGCTTTCGTTATGGATTGGAAACTCTCATCAGCTTGATGCAACGTGTTGTAAATAATGGAGAGAATTAATAATCCCTATAACTTTTAACCTTTTTTGTATGTATTAATGTATGCATTGTTATCGTAGACTATTTTCCATATCTCCACAACATCACTACTGAGCAGTACTCATTTTATCTGGTTATTGCTTCATTTTTATTCCTCTGCGTTCCAAATGTGGAACATAGGGAAGTGAAGGTTTCAAGCCTCTTGAGGCCTGAAAGTTTCATTAGCAGTGTGATATTATCAGTTTCGCTAGCCTGGGATTCGAACCCCAGACCACACACATATGAGGCAAGCATTCTACACACACTACCGCTCAAATCACTATCGATAACACACTTCTGTGTCTGGTAATATTGTATATTAGATAATTCAATGTGTTGAGAGAATACCGTGAATATGCAGGAGGCAAATGCGTCTCCGTGTCGCTGTTTTTGTTATTGTTCAATGAGGCTCCTTCTTCTCCCTCTACTTTCTGTTACTTACATATAAAATACATATCCATTCCCTATTGTATATTTCCATCCCCATCCACGCACCACCGCGCGTCCTCCTCCTCCCTTTGCATTTCTTGTCATATTACACTATTATTATTATTATTATTATGATTATTGTTGTTGTTGTTTATTTAGGGTTTTTTGTATTTATAAATAATTTCAATCGATATCTTTGTCGTTGTTATTGTTGTCGATTAATTAGTTAGTTAGTTGTCCTATTTTTCATGCTGTTTTCTTTCATTTCAATCCACTTCCCTCGTTTTATTATTTTTTAGAAAGGAATATTCATTGATTGATTTATTGATTGACTGATTAACTAATCGATTGTTTATTTATTGATTTATCTGTATTTTTGCTTGTTTATTATTATTGTTATTTATTTGACTTGATATATTGATTGTTTCTTTTTGTTTGTTTATTTATTGATTTATTTATTTATGTAAATAAACTGAATTCATGAAAGAGAACAATTGAATAGTGTTTGTTTACTTGTTTGCTATTGATTTATAATATATCATATCATGCCGACCCATCATTTATAAGTGTGTGGGAGATATGGCGGCTGATCGGTTTCAGTAGTATTCAGTCTTAGGATCTAGACTCCCGCTCAGTTTGGCTATCAGCTGTTTCATGTAATAAAAATGAGGCCCATAGCCGCTTGTTCCAAAAATCGGACACATGCCGACCGATAACTGCCACCTTGACGTGGTAGTGGGGCTTGCATATCGTATCGCAATGAGCCAACAAGCTACACTGGTTGGAACTAATGTTCCTGCAGGTCCTACCATGCCAGGAAGGTTGTTAGGATAGTGAGATTAGACAAAAAGTAGTTACCGGCATTGTGTAAGAATTTTTTCTTACACTATGCTGAGGGTCTGTGGGCGAAGTCGTACTGTTGGGGAACAGGGGTGTAACAGCAGTGAGGTGTTTCCCGCAGATGACCGGCATGCCAGCCAGCTATGTTGTCTCTCCACTCTAGAGACAGGGGGTTAGAAAAGGTCGACCCTAACAGTTGTAAATCCTGACCTACCCTACGGTGATCCGTAACCGGTGGTAAGTTTACTAATATGGAACCAAACCAAGAAACCAGTTCATACAGGCCGTGTGTGACCGGCTGGCCTCAAGCAGTTGTCCCCTGGGCTCTGTGGTCATGCAACACTAACTCTCTTTCTGTTTCAGGTACCCAAAGAATCAATCAACTTCCACGGTGTGGGCAGCTGGGAAGTAACAACCGCCCACACACTTGCAAAAGCACAGACAGACAAAAATCTGACACTGCAATCAAGCACCAGATGTCATTTACACCTTGAAAAACGTATCTGAAGGTCAGTAACTGGTGAGGATGGGATTTTTATTGGATCTCTCGAGAGATTACTGCTCACTTATTCAAGAAATTGCATCAGCTGCAATCTACTGATTGCTGATGAAATCTCAGCATAGATACAAGACGTTATCATCTCTGGTGTAGATTTGATATCCGGCTAGCTGTTGATCAAAGGATGTATGTAATGCGAAGCAGCAGTTTACTCCATCCTCCTGTATAGCTGTGAGACATGGCCATTGAAAGTGTAACATATGCGAGTGGTTAACTGTCATGTATTCTGCTTGCCGAGTTAAGTTTTTATAATAAGTTGAATAATACTAAGGTGTTAGATGTGGAGTCAATCGATCGATGAGGTTGTGAATCTGTATCGATTGAGATGTTTTGGATAGGTGTTGCACATGGTGATCCATCGCCTTCCTCAATGAGCACTGTTAATTGACATAGAATTATGTTAGAAACGAGCTAGGGTTGGTCGAACCAAAACTTGGCATTAGTTCATGAAGTTTTTGGCAGTAGAGAGATGTAGACTTCCTGGTTGGAGTACTTGAAATGCTAAGAACCCTGTGGATTTGAAACTATTGATGATATGGCTCAAAATCATTCTCGATGGCGTAGATGTGTGTTCAATATTTGTGACGCAGTAACTCACCGAAGAAGAAAACAGTGCGATGTGGTCGCGCTATGTCATGAATTGGCAGAACTTAGAATTCATCCACTGGCCATTGGATAATAATAATTTGCTTTATTCCAAAACAGTACTTGTGATACAGAATGGAATTCTCAGCATTTTTTACTACAGTATTGCATCCAGTTAGTACATTATCAATAAATAGAATTCTACATAGATTAAGGAAATCTCAGTTCATTATGACAACAACATATTGGCATGTCGGTAGCAAAGGCAAAGCTGAACAGTGTTTGAAGGTGTTAGAAAAGTAGGAGCTGTCATATTTACTGGTGTAAGCTAAAGAAACAAACAAAGCAGCACATAACGCAAAAAAGAGAGAGAAAAGGAAAAGAAAATGTTGTACCCATAAATGATGTGAGTTGGAAAGACGAGATCCAGTTGCTCTCCTGACTATTTAATAAGTTATAGGTATCACGCCTAGTGCTTTCTTTATCACACAGAACACGAGCTAAGTAGGGTATGGTTGAGTTTTTGTACTTGCTGGTGCAAGCATATAGTTTTCGATATTGGCTTCTGGTTTTGCCTGATGAGATGCAAGGGGAGAGTTGTGAATGAAGAGGGTGGTGTGAGTTAGATAAAATCGATTTGGCCCATTTTTCAAATGGATCGGGTACCAGTGGCTGAACGGTCGTCTACGAGCTAGCTAGCCTTGTCACCGGAAGGTTCTGGGTCCGAACCCCGTTGGGTGCGTATTCTGCTAAAGAGTCGCAAACTAGCCTGTTTAGTACTCCCTGGCTGATTTTCCAATAGTTCTCTAACCCATGTCAGCTCATGATGAAAAGTGACTTCCGATGATAGTGACTACTGCTCGTTCTTCCTGATTAGAGCTACTGTACTTCTCATGAAATCACTGTGTGCCTTATACGTCTTTTAGTAATATTCCATTACATTCCTAATCGTTACACATGAAGTAGGCAATCTTAAATAGATGTACATCTGTTCATCTCCTTCTCACATGATTTCGTGCACATCACCCTCGAAGCCACCGCCAGCTTGTCGCCTTCCATTTGAGTTCCACTGACCTGGTGCATGATGTCACTCAGCAGTCTCTTCAGTGTATGTTCAATCCATTAGCGTGTTGGGTAACACGTCCTTTCGTTGGTTCATTGATGCATATTTTCCTTTGGCCATGTGTTTATCAGTATGAAGTGAAAGGCAACTGTTGATGAAAGCCTGCAGAAACCTGTTCGAAATTCTTTTTATTTGGTATGCCAATTCTCTGAACTGTACAGAAGAGCACTGATTCACTGCACATTGGTTTCGGATAGCCGAATAATGGCAACAAACCAACAGGTGAGAGCCGATTGCTCAACAATCATGTAGGAGAAATTGGAGATGGATGGATTGGGCATACGTTGAGGAGGCCGTCGAATGATATCGCGTACAATGCAGACCATCGCTCCAGTGGAATCCCAATAGGAAATAACGAGTGGGTCGTCGGTTCGTGAGTTATATGGAGGAGATTGTGCGGGGAGAAAATGACAGATTACGGGCAGTCGTGTACCCAGATGAAGAGGACAGCAGGAAATGGAAGAAAGTGGGAATAATAATCCAAATCTTTTTCCTCATGCTTAGTGCAGAAGACTTCCACAAAGATTTCAGATGAATGAAGATCTATTTTACTTTTTCTCGATTGACACTGTCTTTGATATCCTCATCTGTACCGCCCGCCCGCCTGTAGTAGAAACGATTCTCCCTGAATAAGTTGAAGAAGTGACCTCTTGCAAATTTCTTCCGTTGGGAGTGATTGGTGTTTGCCGATTTCGGTCGGTGGATGGGAGTCTTGATCACTTGTCTTTTTTTGTTTCCTTGAAATCTTGTCTTGCCTGCCTGCTTCTTCCACCAGCTTGTTGGTTTTCACCAGTAAATCTTCGAGTTTGTGTGACACTGGATATAAATCATTCACGAAGCCCAGACCTTCTGAATTCGGTTAGATTGTCAGGTAAGTGGATCATTGCGTCATGTCTGCTTGTCTAGTCTTCACCTAAAATATCCGCTGATTATACCATGACATGCCACTAAACCGTTCGAAGCCAATATTATAACTGGACACGTTTATTCTAAAGTAATTGACTAGTCTGTATAAATATCAAGTACGATCAGTCGTTATATTCCTCTGTGCAATAATGTCTATTCGTATTAGATGGTCAGAGGCAATCGGCCACAGGAAGCCTTGCCTGACCTAGGTTTCGTGCTAGTTGGAACTCATCAGTCAGCAAGGCGTATCTGCAACCTTGAAGGAACTCATGTCCCCCAGCTGAGATTCGAATCCGCGTCATCCAGTGCTGCAGTCAGAGACGTTACCACTGAGCTATTCAGGCTCGCGACTGACCTCCTGTAGGACTGTATTGGATATTTTTGATTGCACACTAGTCAGTAACTAGTGTAATGTGTCTAGTCCTTTCTTTGGTGCAGACTGAATTCTATCAGTCAAGTTCGCAAGGTTAGTTACTGACTAGTGTACAATCAAAAATATCCAATACAGTCCTACAGGAGGTCAGTCGCGAGCCTGATCAGCTCAGTGGTAACGTCTCTGACTGCAGTACTCACTGGATGACGCGGGTTCGAATCTCAGCTGGGGGACATGAGTTCCTTCAAGGTTGCAGATACGCCTTGCTGACTGATGAGTTCCAACTAGCACGAAACCTAGGTCAGGCAAGGCTTCCTGTGGCCGATTGCCTCCAACCATCTAATACCAGGAATTCACAATGCACCGTAATGGCGAGCCACCTAGTATGGTGACCACATTGCAAGCTTGACTGATAGAATTCAGTCTGCAGCGAAGATAGTGTCCAATCAAAAATGTCTAATCGCATACACTTATTCATACAAATGCACCAAATGAAATAAGTGAGCTGTTTACTTTTCCTGTTTTTAATATATCTGAATTATTGAATGTTTGGGTAACTCATTCAATAATTCAGATATATTAGAGACTTGGTGCGTCATAAAGAGCACCTCAAACAAACTACAGACCTTCATTAACAGCTGTCTTCGCTCAATACTCAAGATCAGATGGCCAGAAAAGCTCAGTGACAGGGAGGGATCTCTGGGAGCGAAGCAACCAGGAACCGATTGTGCGACAAATAAGCAGGAAGAAATGGAGATGGATTGGCCATACTCTGAGAAAACCATCAAGTAACATCACTAGACAAGCCCTTGAGTGGAACCCGAATGGGAAGTGGTGAGTGGGTCGGCGATGAGATGGGGACATAGAGGAGGTCATGTGAAGAGGAGATGAAAACGTGTGGGCAGACATGGAGCCAGTT